TAATTCCCTTGCAGTTGCCAACCATTGGTAACTCATCCATAGTTACCATTTTCAAGTTCAGTCGTGTTGATGTGTCCGTTGCCGAGGTCGAAGGCTGGGGATCTTCCTTCACAGCAACTTCGTTAGTATTTGGTTTTTTGGCCCTTTTTCCATTGGCTTCCTTTTTAGCTTGATTTTTTTCCGGTAAAATGGTGAAGCTTTCCAACGGTGATTCCGGATTTAGGATTTCGTTCATTGTTCTTATCGGCGTCGATGCAACGATGTTGCAGAACGAAAGATCACCTTTCCGTTGAAGTGAATTATCCAAAACTCTGGCATCTTTCTTCTGATCACTCTTGGCATCGGTTATATTCTCTCCATCTTTCGTATCCCTGAAGCGCATTGGTAGTCGCATTAGCCGTTTGATGTTTTTTCTGCGAAGTAAAACCTTAGCCACATTTTTTTTGGCCGGAGTCAGACATTCTATTCGTTGGCGTGTTGTTTCGGACGAATTTAACAATGAAAGATCGGAAGCAGGTGCAACCATCTTGCTTTCACTTGATTTGAAGTCCATAATTAATATCGCACAAAACTTCTTTTATAATTTTATTTCAAAAAAATTAGATTTTCGGTAAATATTTTGATGTATGATGATTTATTTTACTAATTCACTATTTTACTTTGGTAGAAGAGCAATTTCAATCGATGCTGTATGAATTTGAACAATGAAAATCTATTTTTCTTTTTTTCGAATATATTTTGACGATTTTTAAAGACTTTTAACGATTTTTTCAGTATTAAACGTTCACTGAATACTGTATAGATAATTTGAAACTAAAATAAAGTTTATTTTCTTTTGCGAAATTTTTCGAATAACTTTTTTTAGATGCTGAACAGTTGAATGCCAAATGGAAAGTGAATTCTTCTTGAAAATACTGCTCCTTTTATACAAATATTTTCATCAAACTCCACCCCCTTCTCAAGCATCATTAGGTAAATGCATGCAAATTACCGAAGATGGGTTGGATGGGTTGTATTCCGTACTTTAATTACTAATTCAAAGGTCATTTCATGTACAGTGTACACTGTAGACCTGTACACACATGCTTAACCACAATTACCATGATACACATGCTGTGACGCATACAAAAGAGTGTATACAAATGTATGTATGTATTTGGTTTTGTTGTCATTAAAAAAGTGACGAATGTAGTTGAAATCTGTTAATGACAGATAACCATTTTAAATGATATACAGATTCAAAACGAAAATACATATTTAGTACGTTTACAAGCCATAAAAATCATGCTGCTGATCAAAAATACCAATATAAAATGGCT